TTGCAAACTATAAAATAAAACAATGTTTTTATTAATTAAACGTAGCACAAAAAGTAAGGAAATTAGTGTTTGGGAGATTATTTCTTTGTTGTAACAATGCTTCTTGACAATAAATCTTATACCGGGCACCTGATTGGCAGCACCTGGGTGTACCAGAAGCTCAAAACAAGTGTCTATAGTATAGTAACACTACATAATATAAGCTGTTTGACAGCGAAGATTTAGCTATTTTTTTCATGTGTGCAACCCACATACTCAGCTCTACTGCTCATCCCACAAATGCACGTTCCTTACAAATGTGGCACCATTTAAAAGGGAAATTAAACAGATTTTTCAACTGTATAAGATTTATTGCCAAAAAACATTGTTACAACAAAGAAATAATCTACCAAACACAAATTCCTTACTGTTTTTGCTAAGTATATAAATGGAACAGTTTGAAAGAGTTCACTTACAGCAAGTGTGCCCAGATTCTTTTCCCAGAGAGGACCAAAATAATCATCTATCTGAGGGCCGTGAACCAAATGCAATAACATGATTCATGAAATGCAAATGCTTTTTAAGTAAAGTCCTTTTATTTTTTGGGATTAAGCTAGCAGCCAGTGTGATGGCCCACTTTTTTTTTTTTTTAGCCTGTGCACTTGGAGAAAGTTTGAGGTACCCTCAGTTCGGGCAGCTAAGGCTGAATGGACATTTTCTAAGTGGATAAAATATGAGTATTTGCGACTTTATGAAGTGTGCACATCTACACGTGTGCTTAAATCTAATCTAAATGTCTTTTGTAGTTACTTGTATTTCATGTTTAATATTAATATAATTCAAAGTTAAAATAAGCACCATGAGTGAGGACGATCTGCGCTACAGGCCTCATTATTGGGCCGATGTATGGACTGACTAAGTGGAAACACTGTGTTTCTACAGAGGATGACTGGAGATTACAACCTTGTAGCAGCTGGCAGGACAAATCAAATGGCTTGATGGGCAACTTTGGCCCATGGGCCATACTTTGGGCACCTCTGACTTTAAGCTTAGGTCGGGTGACTGACCCACATTAGTCTGTGTAGGTCACAATAACGACACATTAATGAGGGGAAAAGTGCAGCTTTAGTTTCTTACTTTATGAAATGCCATGAAACTTCACGTCTTCATGACCTTCCAGTGAGTTCCTTTTAACTGAAAAAATAAAAAGCACCATTAACTGACAGCTGACAGACTCTTAAAAAAAGCGACGTCAAAATCCTTTACTGCGTGTCATCAGATGCCACCTCAGCATCCTCTGCTCCAGCTTCCCTGTTTTCGCGCCGCAGGAGA